AATCTGGGGTCAAATGACTGTAAGAAATAAACAACAGGTTAATCAATAATGGCTGATTATTAGCTGAAGCCGTAAATACTTCATGATGGAGTATCTATACTGTTTGGATATACACTAAAATATGTCTGTAAAATCAAGTATTGAATCAGTATCAAAAGTTGAAACTAAATGCTTGGCAAGAACTAATTCTTTGTTGATAATATATTTCCTGATCTAAATCATGATTTTTCTTTTTTAAGTCCTTGCACAGTTGTTTGTGTTGAGATTATACAGAGATGCATTGCAGTTTGCTCAATTAAAAAATGTTTTTTATAGAAAACCTGTTTTTTAAATAAGGTATTGACAACATATAATTTTGTTATCAATTCCAAAACTTAGGTACTAAATTGGCACTAGCGCTGAAAAAATACTCTACATATTATGCAACAGCAATACTTAAAAAAAAAAAAAAAAAGAGTTTATATCCCCAAGTGAGAAGGAAGGCAATGTGGATTAGAAATCCAGAGAGGGAACAGAATGAGGGAGAGAGACAGAGTTAAAATAGCTGTCTGGGTCCCCGAAGGTTGACCAGTTATTATAAAGCCATTGTGGTCAGTGTGTACGTTTCCACAGATCCTTCTGAGTCACGCTCAATAAGTCAGTCCTTATGGGCCTGGCACTGTCAGGACCCAGTGAGGGAGGAGGGATAAGGGTACGCAGGCACCTGGCTCACATCCTTAACCCACTGCCTCTTCCTCCTCCTCCTCTTCCTCTCAACACACACACTAAACTCTGAAAGAGTACACAGAGAGACGCAGACACTGTCGTCCCATTCACAACCCTCTGCGGGGTGATTCCTGGCCAAACAAGGAAGGAAAAGCCAGGTGGGCGGAAGGGCAGGATGGACAGAATGATGGAGCGGGCAGGCAGAACAAAAGATGGGTGGATGACTGTAGGCAGGGCACAATGGGGGTAATGATGGGTGGGTGAAATGATGAATAAGAGAGAGAGAGCCTGAGAGTGACAGTGAGAGAGAGAGAGGCGGAAAGTGAGTTAGACTTTGATGGGGTGCAGTGAGTGGGTCAGTGTTGGGCATGCATGGCCTGAACTGGGATACTGGGCCAATTCATATAACTGCTGCTAAAAATAGGTTTCTCTGTAGCCGAGGTAGGGCTAACATGGCTCAACCTTCTCCGACAGTGCTAGTGCACTCATATTACCAGCAACATCTACTCTGAAAAAAAACACATACATGCTTGTGACTTTTTCCTCGTGATAGTTGACCCTTAAAACAATATTCTACCCCTAATCACTCTCTTTAGACTGCAGTCTTAAAACATTTTTGGTTCAAAGTCAGGATTTTTGCCGATTCTAATGGATTCCATTCGTGACAAGTATTCTGAGCAATGGGTTATCTCTGGTTCTGAAAAGTGAAGTCAATGCCCAAGTGCCTTAAACCTACATTCTTTCTATTGGCCAGCAGGGGGCAACTCCACTGGATGCAAAAACAAGTTTGATCATATAAAAGTCAATGAGAAAATGACCCAACTTCTCACTTGATTTATTACCTCAGTGAACATTTTCCATATGCGTTTATGGTCTCAGTTGCTAGTTTCAAATCATCTCCAGTACAACATGTTAAATATGTAAATTATGGTCCCATTTAGAGTAAAACAGACAGTAAAGCAGAGTATGTTTGGGCGTGGCTATCTTGCGATTGACAAGTTGCTACCATGGCAATGTCCTAAAATGCCAAAATGCCAAACTCGAGGCTTCAAAACTTTGGTTCACAAACCAATGGGTGATGTCAAGGTGGCCACGTACACTTCTTTGATATAATCCATTGTTCTCGGGAGACTAGCATCAGGCAATTCCATAACTTTCCAAAACCAACAATCATGTCCACTACGCAAAATCATAGATCAGCTAAAAAACCCTTATCACTTCAGATGTGGTCAGACGACACATAGTACGAACTAGTTCTTTCAAACCCCAGCCTTCATCCACTTCTCCACAATCCATCTGTTAGCTCAATATGCTCAAAAAGTCATTTTTCCCCAAAGCATGGCTGTATAAAAGCGTGCACAGTTAGCAGCTTAATGACCCATGTAGCCTACATTGTAACAAGTGCCAAATGTGTTGAAAAAAAAACAAAATCCAAGGCAACTCTTCTCTGGTGCAAAAGTTAAAAGGCCTTTATTAAAATCACCAACATGTTTCGGCCATGCTCACTGGCCTTCATCAGGGCATCATCATCTGCTGTTGTCTTCAAGTGCCAAATGTGCTTGAGCTACAAATGACAGCAGTGTGTGTACAGCCACATTTTGGCAGAACATGATATGTTTGCAACATACTGAGCATAGCATGTTGAGGGGACAGTGTTGCATGAGAGGTTTCAAAAGTTCCTATGGTCATTTTGATCCTTTTCTTCAGCTGTGAAAACCTATCATCACTGGAATCCATTGTAACTGACATGAATCTAAACTGGCCACAGTTTCTGTTCTTTTGAATAGTAGAGACTTTTCCAGGAACCAAGAGATCTTTCTAGGAACTCAGAAACTTTTTCTGCTTTTCAACCAGAAAAACCTGTTTCCAGGCTTTGTCCCTACTGCCAAAGTATTTTCTAGTGGGCCTGTAACTATCGTTGCATAGTCTGCAGAACTTAATATTCCGCACTGGTCTCCCTGATCAAACACAAGCCTCAAATCTGCTTCAGCATCTGGAATGTATTCATACAAAGTAAAAGCAAGAAGTGGCTGTTGCTAATATCACCAACTGGTATAGGGATGTGACTAAACCAATGGTATCTGATTGTCTGATTTCCTAAAGGTACCCTAAAAACGACCAAAGGTTTTCCACCTCTGCATGTCTCACACAATATCTCTATGTTATTGCATCTTTGTGTGTGAAAACTGTTACCTGTTATCTACTGAGCAATTCCATGTGGCACTGTAAGGTTCTATTCTGCAAAACACCTTTTGCTCAAGACAGCCTTTTCTGTGAAAGGCACAAAGTCCTGAAACTCGCTACCTGATCATTTGAAAATTGTTGCCAGGGTCATTACTTTTAAGAAAGCCACCAAATTCTGGTTAATTCTGCAACACAGGTTTTATTTCTAGTTTTAAATGCACTGTTTTTAATGTGTGCTTTATGGTATTTTCATGTAATCATTTTACCTTTCTTTACCTCACTGTTCTAATCTCTATTTTCTATGAAAGCCTTCGAGGGAAGGCTGTTACACACTAGCATCCGCTAAAAACACTATGATACTTGCACTTGATAGTTTTCATATTGTTTTTGTATACTATATCCTCTCCTAAAAAACAGACAAAAAAACTAAACTAAATTGAACCAAAGGGATTTAAATATCTTTCTTATTTTACTTCCTACTGATCCTTCATTCCTGGAAGTACTTGGTTGAAAAGCTGTGTTAGTTCCAGTTTAATTCCTGTAAGCATCTGGAAGAAAAGGTCCACCTGGAAGATGAAACTACCAGCCACATTTCAACAGTTCCTGAGAATTTGATATTAGAAGATTTCAGGTGGGGCATTTCTTCAAGATGCTAAGACAGCTTGTGTATCATGTGCATGGTTATGCCCCTTTTTCCTCTGCTTAGTCCTTCACCCATCCACCCCCTCACCCCTCCCTCCCACCTCTTCCCCCCCTTGCTCCCTTCTTTTCACAGTATTGTCACCCTAGACGGTTCACACGGTCTCCTCTTCGCTGTGTTTCCGGTCATAAATCTCTGCAACACACCGTGAAGGCACATCCCCTCCGATGGATTTAACACAACACCCTGCACCCCACCGGCCCTCTGAGAAAAGGGCAACAAGGGCTGGCATACTGCTGCACACACACACACACACACAAATTTACACACACACACACACACACACACACACACATTTACACACACATTTACACACACACACACACACACACACATTTACACACATTTACACACACACACACACACACACACACCCACACACACACACACACACACACTTAGACCAGAACTGACACTTCCCTGGTTGGTATTTGTTGATGAAATCCAGGAAAAGAACAAGGAAGAGTCTGATTTTAATAACAGTAACAATGAAAACCGCACTTTGGGGAAAGACTGAGGTAAGAATCTGAGAGGATGATTTTATTCTGTATGTGTGTGTGTGTGTGTGTGTTATGGCTCGGGTTGGTCTCTGACTCATGGTGCTTGTCTGGGGGGGGGGGTTTGGTGACTCATGCGTTTCTCAGAACAGGCTCTAGGTCCGTGGAATTCCTTCGATAAGGCGCACAACCTCAGGAAATGGGATGGTGATATTTATTTGATATGCCGTATGTCTCAGCAGTGTCCCACAACACCTACCATCCATCACCCAGCTTCCCCACCTCACCCGTCCTCTCCTAAGGTCAGTTTATCACCAACCAAACTACTCCAAATGAAATTTAGTTTCCTCATTTTTTTCCCCCTCTTACAAATGAGCAGGCCATGGGTGGCCTGAGTTTGCTGTACCACGGACAAGAAAAACTAAACCAGTGACAGCCTGTTTGTTTTTTTTACCTCACCAACAGCACCCCACACCTACACACCCTCACCAAAACTACCGCCATCAAACAAGCGCCATACATACACTCCCCTGCCGCCACATCTACCGTGCCACACACACTCCCAGACCACATTCTTACATCCCTACCCCCCACATTCTCCCACACCACACACCCACAAACACACCTGACCGACTTCATTTCCTGTGAGGCATGAGTCAGACGGCTGCAGTGCATTTACCGGAGTAATACATAGTTATTAGCCATTCTGATAATATAGTGTTGATGTGGCTGTCAAGGCAACCCAAGCTGCAAAAAAAGGGGGATTGTGCATGTGTGGGTGGGTGGGATGAGTCGGTGAGGATTCTTTGGAAGTGTTCAGGCATGCGGTGGGTCTATCTGCATGTCCGCAGGTGTGTGGGTGTTTAAGTGTGTGAGAGAAAAAGAGAGATGAAACAGCAGGGAGAGCCATTCACCTGTTTTTTCTTGTAGAAGCCCTTTCTGTCACAGTTGGGTATGCGGAAGCCTCTCGGGTTGAGCACGTTGCTGATTTTAAGACTGCTCAGGATGCTCTCCATCTCCCGCCGACATGGCCCCTAGCAACACGGCAAACACACCCCAGCGACGCCAGTATTACACACGCATCCTTACACAATCACAAACATGAAAAACATAAGGAGTATTCATGCAGTTATAGAAGTTCATGGTCAACATCACAAAAGTTAAGTCCCAAAATGAGACATCAACTTTCTGGAAAAATTGGTACATTCTTTTACAAAATGTTTGATAGCATACAACCAAAATTATGTTGTTTACATGATAGAAGACAACTTGAAGGTACCCTATGGTGTGTTTGACCACAAAGTGCTCTGCAGAGTAATGTTGTGTTGAGAGATTACCCAACTGTTTGTATCTTGTGTTTCTCCTGCACGTGCATGAGGCTGCACATGCATACCACCTACCACAGGTTGACAGCAATATGCATTCTTGCCAAATGCATCCTTGTGCCAAAGAGAGGCAGCAGTCTGTAGGGTTTAATTTCAATAAATTGCCTCAGCAGGTGATTTCCCCATTGAGCATTCACTTTACTGGAGTGCTAATCAGTGAGTTGGTGGAGTATTGGACTGACCTAAAAAAAAAACCTGAAGACTGATTCACTCCTGTGGATTTATAATTAAGGCACTGACCATGAACTGCAACACCAGCCAGAGACCTTTATTCCCCATCTCTCTCCCCAAACTTCCTGTCATTTCTTTACCATTAGCTTTTGAATATTGAGGCGTCAAATGAAAAGTTGCAGACTGCTGTCTTTCCATTGCAAATGGTGATGCTGCCAATCAACAGAGGTTGGTGGTAATTAGAGGGGAGAAAAGGAATAATAAAGTAGGCAGTAGTATGCTTCCATCCAAAAGTGATTTGAATCATTGGGAAATGCGCATTAAAAGAAATACGAATCCTGTGTGTTTCCATTAAATGTACGGACTTTGGTGAAAACTAAAGTTTTCCGCAGAACCGGAAACAAAACAAGTCTCGCATTCTTCTTCTTCTTCTACGTTTCTGGCGGTTGGCAACCAGCTTGTAAATGCTTTACCGCCTTCACAACCCGGAGTGTGGATATCACCATGGAGAGAGGTGCGCTACATCAGACTTAATTCGAACATAACTGTTTCCATCCCCCGTTTTGCGAATGAACATTTTTTCTAATTAATCAAAACTCGGCTAAAGCGAGCGTATTTTAGTTTGTGTGAATCAGGGGATTTTAATTAGAATTTTGGCCTTTCCATCAGAATTTTCTGATGCGATACTTCTAGATGCACATCTCAACAGTCTGATGGAAACATGGCTACTGATAAAGATATTGGCCAAACTGCTGTTAAAAAGCTTTGAAAATGTTTTATAAGACAGATAACGTACTAAATATGCTTGTTTCAATGGTTCATATGGGCACCATACAATTGTTTTGAGATGACAAATTGTGAACAAGGTGTCTTTACAATTAAATCACCACTGGGTACCTTTAAGTAGGTGTTTGAAATAAGACAACACTAGCAACATGTTCAACTTCCATAGCAGAGGTTCATGAAGACAGTTTAATCTTGTTAATTGGAATCCAAACAAGGTCACACAGTCAGTTCAAAAACAACAGACACTTTTTAAAGCAGGTGACATGTCATAGTAGGAAAAGCACAGGTGTATTCAATAATGTTAATGAGAACTGCATTCCACTTAGGGGAAACCCTGGTGTTGTCCATGTTAGCTCATGAGAATAGCTTACTGGGACACTAAATGGAACTGAGTCATTGGTAATTTTAACAATTTCACCTGTGCTTTTCCTACCATGACAAGTCAAAACATCTGCTGTATAAAAGGTCTGTAGTGGTTTCTCTGTATCCTGACAAGACACAAAGACACAAGGCTGCACCGGGTAAGTGTCACTCTAAACAGCTAACAATTTTGAAAGTGGCTGCCAAAACTTCAGGTAACAAACTAGAACTTGTCCAAAGCCTAAACTGTATACAAAGTACAAGTTAGCCAACGAGCAAACTAGCTAACAAGCAAGCTAACTAGTTAGTTAGCTGGCTTGCTGACTTTGTCCAAATTTGGTGAGTTCTGACAGCAAGTGAACTCACTAATTAGCAAACAACAAGGCAAACACCTCATTGACAGACTCGATTTTTCACTGAACTAGGTATTGACAAATTCAACTAAAGTTTAACATTTGAATTTGTCAAAAGATAAATATTGTGGACAAGATACAAGGTGGCCAGAGAGCTAGCGTTAAATAGCCAGCAAATTTAAAAAACTGTCTACTTTTAGCCTCCAAATAGACCTTTTTTACAGACCTGACTTGTCATAGTAGGAAAAGCACAGGTGAAATTGATATCATTAATGATGGCTCAGTTCCGCTAAGTGTCCCAGGAAGTTATTCCAATGAGTCAGCATGCACAACACCAGGGCCTGCACTAAATGGAATGCAGCTCTGCATAATGTTATTAAAATACACTGTGCTTGTTCGACAATGACATTGCAAATGCCTGCTGTGAAAAAGGTTGATGACTCTCTTCTTCTCCTTGGGTATGTTATTTTCTATATTTTTAGTTTTCAAGTGACCAGCTTTATTAACTTTAAATTTTACTTTGTCCAAAGCTAAATACTATGCTCAAAATGCAATGTAGATAGAGCGCTAAGTAGTTAGCTAGCAAAAAAAACCCCTAATGCTAACCTAAGCTAACGATTTTAGCTGCTTAATGCCAGTATTCTTTTTTCTTTTGTGTGTAGTAGGCCTAATGGTTATGATTTCTGTTTTCAAAAGGCCAACAAAATAAAGCTCAAATGTACAGTTGTATCTATTGTCAATAAGATATCTTAGAAATATTATTAACAAAGTGCAAAGGAGCTAGTCAGATAGTTAGTTAGCTAGCTAGCAAACAAAAAAGAAAGCAAGCTAAAAGTTTTCACCCAAGACATACTCTCTTCTTCATTTGGTTGGTTCATGGCATTAAAAACGTGGTTGCCAGCCTGCATAACAGTATATTTTTTTTATAGAAAGCAAGTCATTTATTATTATTTGTAAGGGACCATAGAAAATGTAACGTTAAACGTTAAACAGAAATGTTACTATTAGAGGAAACGTACCGGAGGTAACATTAGCTTAAATGTAGCTACAGTCATGGGGGTTCACTGTCTTTCTAAACCTCTGCCACTAACCACTAACACAGTTTTTTTCCAATTAATGTAGTAACATTGTAACATTTTTACAGAAATCTCATTGCCTCTGGATGTGACTTACATACTCGGTCTCCCTCTTGTTCTCCAGGGAGAAGTTGTGCATGTCCATATTGGCTCCTCCTGACACTGATTCCACCTTGTAGCTCTGAGTCTTCCTGTTCTGATCTTTCTGGATCAGCTTGTTGTGCAGTGGAGGCCTGGTGTCCATTGACCCCCGACTGTGCCCACCCTTCACGGTTGCCACGCCAGGCAACACTGTCATCGCCACAGTCACATTGGCAAAGCCGTCTTCTACCTGATTTCCAGCGTTCTCTGGAGGGGTAAAAGTAAGTCATCAGTTTTCAAATGAAGAAGGACTGTTAAAATAGCATCTGATTTGTAGCTGAAATTTAGTGGTTGATTATCCGTTTTTGCACCACTTGCAGTCGTGAAAACATGTTATATATCACATTTAAAGAATAAAAGATGAAAGGAAAGGCCTTTTGAAACCCACTCCTAGATTTGTGAAACGTTTATTTTATTTCTTTGGAAAAAATGGGGCTATTTTTCCATTTATATACATTAAGACTGTAAAACCAGGTCTAGATAAAAACTACTATAATTACACTTGTCAAAACTGGAATAGCCTAGATCCAGAGACTGCTTTTATACGTGTTTCTGTCTTATGTGATGTGAATGTAGGAAACACAGAGGAATCACCTTTTTTCCCAAAAAGAATAAAGGTTTTACAAATGTGAAACTGTGTTTTACACAGTCTCTGGAGTCTAATTGTTATCAAGTCCAGGTTTGAGAAGTGTAAGTTTAGTGGTTTTTAAGTTAGACTTGGTCTTATGTGGTCTTGATGCAGAAACATAAATTATATCATCCTTTTTTGTTTTCATAGATAAAATAAAGGTTTCACAAATGCTAAAATGGGTTTGAAAGGGCCTTAAATGTATACTATGCCGGATGATCCTTAAAAAACAAACAAACAAAAATAACACAATCCCTCTCACTCATCACTGATGACCCATTAGAAGTGTGTGTCAGTGAGACCCTGCCCTCTGTTTATATTTTCTTATTTTCCTCTTTTTTTGTTCTGTTTTTATTTTTTTATTTTTCTCAATGTGGATTAGTTTACTATACTGAGAAGACATTGCAATGCCAGCAGTGCCTGCTTCTCTTAATCCAACAGAGTTCTCGACTGTCTAAGTGAGGCCCGTTTAAAAGAGACAAAATAAAGTTAGCTCATTGCCTTGTGGGCTGTTTGGAGACAGAGCTGAAGCCAAGTAATAAACAGAAACATGACGATTTCATATCCAAAAATTTCCACAGCATGCAGACCAAGAGATAGTCACAGAGAGGAACTAAGTGTAAACAAGACTTTTTAAGGACGCTGTTTAGAAGAAAATGTTGTGTATGTGTTTATATGTTTAGGGTGGAGGAATAGGGTATTGGGGCTAAAAGAGGAGGAGGTTAGGGCAATAAGAGGTAAAGTGGGAGATGAGGGAGCCAATATATATTAGCGTGTGGTGCTGGCAAAGATTTCTGTCAAATCGTTAAAGACAGAGTGGGGACCATCTGACTGAGAGGAAGAGAGGAGGGGGCTCCAAACACTCCCTAATATAGGAAAGGACCAAACTACCCGCCATGTGCCACCCGGTCGGCCACACCACCACAAGGCCACAGTCGGAGAAGCTAACTGAGCTTGGAGACGTCCTGAAGAGGCAGAGGGACGATGGGAACACACATGCAGCGGCTCACACACACCCAAACACAGTTTTAAACCGTTAACTCAAAGCAGATTTTGTGTTCGAGAGCTGCGGTGAGGGTGGCGGACGGGCATGTAGGGGTGTAGCTCGTGTGGGCAGGCAGGCTGGCAGCCCACCCTTTCTCCGTGACCACCTGATCAATTAGTGACGTGGTGGGGCTCCACAGTCTCTCAGGCTCTCCAGAACTTAGAATAACAACATGGATGTCACCAGCAGCATCAACTGGAACAAGACAACGTCAGAAACCAACAGATGCTCTTTAACCTGATACGACCTCCATGTGTGTTTTCTGATCTCTGCAAAAATGTCCATGAATGTCCATAAATGTCCATAACCAAGGACAAAAATATGGAGCCCTTTTTAAGATTCCTGCAAGCATTAATTTTTATTGTCAATATAAACTTTTATATAACCTTTCTAGGAAGTCTGGGGCGTTTTAGATAAACACATTACGCAATTTGTTTGTATAATGGCACAGGGGTAAACAGCACAAACTGCGGTGAGGAGAGCTTGTTAATGTCTGGGAGGAGAGGCTGCTCTGGAGCTGGGGAGTGATGGTGGTGGAAACCACTGGGCTGCATGTACATACTCTCTCCAACAGGGGCGCTTGGGATCTTTTCACACATTTTTTTCTCCAGTGAAGATACTGGAAATAAGCAAGCACTGATACATTGATACCTCTCTCACTGCTGTTATCTACTGCATTCTGCTTTACAAGGTTAAGAAGTGGTATAACATGGATCTCTTTGCTCTCACATTGGATACAATATCAGTTTTGTCTTAAATCTGCAAATAAATAAAGATAAGCTGATACAAAATGACACAGAGACAGAGAAAAGGAGAGGAAATTAAGAGAGCCATATATAGGCTAAGTGACAGGAAGTTAGAAAGTCATAGGCTACTGTGTGTGTGTGTGTGTGTGTGTGTGTGTGTGTGTGACAATGTGTATGCTGAGTGCTTGCACACCACACATTACTGTGGCCAAACCAAATAACCAGGAAGAAGAAAACACACACAGAGGCTCCTGGAGGCCTGACGTCAGCAGTGCCTAAACACACACCAGTGTGTATTCACATGTAGGTGGCATGTGTGCCATTTTGTCAGTGTGAGCAGCGTGCATCCATTCACACAAAACACCATACAGTCAGATAATATGAGGTCTCCCATTATTAGCAGAGGCACTAGCATGCAATAAGGTGATATCCTCTAGTTTTGGCTCATTGATAATGATGTCTGTGCTTGAGTGTTGGTTGCTTGTAGGGAACTCAGAGATACGACCCCCCACCCCCTTTGCCACACACCCGAGATGTTTTGGTCCACATCCTGGGCAGCAGCAGCACATATTTTCATGCTGTGTACAAAAATCCATGAGCTTTACTTGAAGGAAAATAAGGACATTACAGAAGACAAGGACATGGTCTGCGCTCAGCCTCAGCTAAATACTGTATACTTACAGTATGTATGTGGCATTCCTTAACTATTGGTTTGAGGGAGCCAGGCTGTGTGTGTGTGTGTGTGTGTGTGTGTGTGCGCGCGCGCGCGCGCTTGTGGGAGTGTGTGTGTGTTAGTGAGAAAGAGAGAAGGAACCGTGTTGTGATTTTCTTAAAACAAACAATGTGCAAACCCCAAAACGACAATCTTTTAATTCCTTAAATTTTATTTTGCATTTTACCCATGATGGTCCAAATCTGTGCGCACATGGAAAAAGAAGTGGCCGCCTGGTGGGAAAGCAACGATTAATTGCTGCGTAAACCTCCAACCCATAGCTGGTGTTATCTACTCAAACTTTCAGGAGCCTATGGGATTTGTTAAACACAGGCGCGCATATCACTGTGCAATGTCAAGCTTCTACTCTAAAACCCCACGGCTAGAAATTATCTTTTACATTTTGGCAGGCTGCATAACAGCCCACAGACTACATTTTGCGCATTTTACTTGCCGTGCCTTTTATCTCCAGTAGATCAGTCTTTACAGCATCTTTATCTCATCCACTTCCAATACAACGCACTTCATCGTTTTTTCCATGAGCAGGGAACTCCCCGGTCAGCACAGAGCAACACCTCATGGGGTGAGCGTCTGTCAAAACCTCTACATAACACATGCACAAAAAAGCAACAACATTGGCTCCAAATCATTGAAAGCGCAAATAACCCCCTGCTTCTTACCTTGTTTTTGCGGCGGTATGAGAATGCTGTTGAGCTTTTTGGACGCGGCCCTGGAGCACACTCCCCGTCCCTCCAGAAGAGCTTGCAGGGGTCGACTCTCCCCCGGCTGGTGCTGGCAGGTCAAACCGGAGCCACAGCGCGCCGTATAAACTCCACACGCCAGTCCCTCGCCGAGGGCGCACGTCATGCAGCAGCCGCAGCCGGGCTCCCTCACCCGCTCCGCACAGTCCTTCGGCAGCGGCTTGCACTGCAGGAGCGCCCCGGCATCGCACGGCTCGCATCGGACCACCGGCCCCACGGTGCCGGCGAGCCGGGTGAACGCAGCCAGCGCGGCGGCGAGACAAAGCACGCAGAGACCGGGCATTCTGCCGATTAAGCTAGTCACAAAGGGACCGTATGTGAGTTGTCACGTAGGCTTAAGGGGACTCTCTGTGACACAGCGAGCCGGCTAGCCTTCTCCATCTGTATTTTGTTTTACGCGAACTTCTCGTTTTATACAGGCGGAAAAAAGAGCCAACAAGTCACACCCTCCTCCGTATGAATAATGTAAACGGAGAGCCCCGATACGAGGGACCGCTACATCCAGTCTGAAAAGAGAGCTGCTCAAACGTTCAGCTTTTTTAATCCCTTATAATAATTTACTGAGGACTGTTCATCTTTCACCCTCTCCCTGTTCTGACAAAAATGCAAAGGTGTTTGTCTGGAAATGTGGTTTCTTGTCAAAAGAAAGGCAAGTAAAGTCAGCTGCAGATGGCATGTAGCATAAATGTGTTGATTGGTTTCATTCACAGTAATATTAATATGTAATATGTTACAGATAAGATGCACAGATGCAGATTTCCAACAGAAGAGAAATGTGCCGTACCAGGGGAGATTTCTTCTGTGTTGACTGTTCTCAAACCTGTGGAGGTTTCCACACCACTGGCCACATCCCCTGCTGGCATCAAAGGTATGTGAGTGAATGCCATTGGCGGTACCCCCCACATGCAACACTGATAAAACATTCCTCTGGGCAGGTGTGTAGGTGGCCTCCATGTTAACCCACTAAAACAATAATTTCTTTGCATATAACTTATGTGTTTGTGTGTAAAACCACGTGCTCGGTGGTGGGTGCAGCCAAAGTGGTATTGCTTTACTGTTCTGGGTTGTAGAAGCTGCGGTGTTTGGATGCACATGTCAGTCAGAACACCAACCACAGCTACCGCGCACGTGCAGGCCAGACTGCATACCTGACCCTTTCACCCAAGTAGTTTCAGAAGCCTGCTCACCTTTCACATACCCCAAGCAGACCTGGTGATCTGGCACTTTGCATCCCCCCCCCCCCCCAATCCTCCTTCTATGAGTCCCACCGGCAAGCATCCAGACCCCTTGCACTTTCCCTCCTGTATGCCCCCCTAGACCCCGCAGGATTTCAAATTATTAGAAAGAAAATGTTGAGATTCTGCAGGCTCAGCATCGCTCCCCCTGTCCGGCATATCCTCCTGTTCTGCAATAACAAACGCAAGAGGGGGGTACACATTGAGAAAATAAAGCAATCAGTATCGGCCATTGTGTGATTTCCACCACAGAAGCAGAAAAAGTGTTGAGACTGCATTATGAAAAACAAGCAGAGGGTAAGGAAACACCCCCGGAATAGCAAGAAAACGTCTCCAGCTAAGATTACTTTTCATATTACTTGATGTTTTTTTCTCTTTCTGCATTTTTTCATGTCTGAAATGTTCAGCGTATGACCTTTGGCTTGTTTATTGTCTGCCAGTCCGTCCAGGGTATGATTTACCTAAAGTGCCCTTACCGTTGAAACTAATTCAGCAAAAAGACACTTTTGGGAAACTGTGCCCCCTTTGTGTGAATACAGTGCAATCACAGTTTATTTTGTCATACCATAAAGGTGACAGAGTTCATCCTGATGAGCTGTAATTGTTTCCCTCCCTCAAGATAGCTGCTAAACTGGTCTGCAGACAATATATAAGCAGCCTAAATGGATGTGACATTCTCAAGTCTTATGACATTTTTTGCTTGTTCAGATATCATGCAAAGCAGACGCGACAGCATGTGGTAAAAATCAACCACTGGGGACACAACAAAACATTCACCTTGTCCTGCACACCCACTGGGATCCCTCAGATTTCAGTGTCAGGACAAGGTGTCCTGTAATTTGCCTTAGGACAGTCTGGGTATTATACAACGATAAAATGAAACCAGACAGCTGCTGGTTCAGACCTACACATCTCAGTTCCCAGACCACGTGTTTAACCCATCTGTGTTGCAGTCTCAGCAAACTGCAATAAGAGGTACTATTTGTCTTGCTCAACGATCTTGTCATGGTTATGCGTGTGCACCTTTGTCTTTCACCCTCTCTGTCCTCTCCCCCTCAAGGAAACTGATATTCTCTAGTTATTAATCTCTCCTTTGTTACAGCATCATTCTCCCAACATCTCAACATTCATCTGCGTTACATTCCCACAATGCAGCACATTTCAGGCCATAAATCATTAATTGGAAACCCAAAGTCGATGACGGTCCTCAGTAACACTGGCACAATGCACTTTATAATTTGAGGTTTTGTGGGAACGAAAGGATCTGGACAGATTTATTTGTTTCCTTCCTCCACAAGTGATTCGAGCAGCAAATTTTCTTGCTGTCAACATATGCTGTATTCATATGTGAGCTATAGCCTAGCATCGGCACGCGCCACGCTCACTGACCACGTCATGAACTGCATATCCCTTCATACAAAAACCAGGCATTTTACATGCTACACACCATGCATCATGTTGACAGCACTGTTATTTAGTGTTTAGTCAGTTGGACGACTTTCAAGTTTACCACAATATGCTACAGTTGGTCTACAGTGTGCTTACAGTGGATCTAGCTTTGGTGTTTTATTTTATATAAGTTATTAACTCAGTGTTAATTCATTAGTCAACTGACAGAAATTACAGCAAAACTGTTTTATTGATGTTTTGTGGGTCATATGGTTGTAGTTTTGGCCATAATTACGATATTTGAACCTGAAAATCTCAAATCAAGGTCTATTAGTATTTTCCAGAGCTTTTAACCACATCTCATGGTCTTCATCAATGGACAGAGTTTGCTCTGTTGTCATGGAAATAGCTCAGTTGTCATGTGGCCTAACTGCAGCCTAAAATAGACAACTGAGCAAACTCAATCTGCTGATGAGCACTGTGACATGAGGTTACAAAACAAAGCTAGTAAATGGGCATTAGCAGGAATTGTGGCTTTTGTTTTGTTTGTAAACAGTATCGCCAGCGAAAGTGAAAACAAAACCCAGCTTTTTCTGCTTGGTGTTTCGCCTTGCTATATTTGCTTTATTTATTTTTTTGGTGCTGTGTCCACGACTACCTTTTTATAAAGCCACTACCTCAACTGTGTGCTGTGCCCAGAAATGTCTTGAACACAGCAGAATAAGACAATACAGGCAGAGGGTGGGGTCTCTGCAGATAAAACACCACCACACAGTTCTTGTTGGTCATAAGTGATGATTTAAAGGAATTACTTTTGTGTGAGTCTATCAAGCGGCAACCTCTGCGGCTGCACAATGGTGCAACGCAGAAGTGCCAAAAACTTCAGTTCCTCAAATGGCCGATTGAGGCTGTTTTCAAAAGCAAGTCGATCCTCGTGGACCCCCATGTTAAATGCCCAACTTTAGAGCAGAAATAAACATGTTTATAGCCTGGTACAAAAAATGGTTTTGGTCTCCACAGCAGTTCATAACAGATGTAGAGGTGTTGAATTTTTATAAAACTCACCCAGTTACATTTTATTTAGGCTTTAATTTATGCATTATTAAGGGCTGCCTAAAATGACAGGTGGGCGCTGTCTGTTGACAAATTGCTACCACAGCGACAGTGTTGATTATGTAACCATTATGTAACCCCAAAGTCAACTAGTATAGGTGTAGCCATAGTTGTCACTATTTCACTGGCCGAAAAAGTCTATTTTTTTCCAGGTAAATGCATTTGTTTGAATGGATTTAAGTGTGTTTGTTGTCAGAGAAAATTAGCATTAGCATTATCACAGTTAACCCTGGACTGTAAATACACCATGCTAACCAAGTTAGCAGCGAGTATTAGGGTTATCTCCACCCTCTCATTTTGGCTGCAAAAATCAAAGATAGTGAAGGCCAAAATGTCAAACTGAAGACTTCAAAACGGGGGTCCACAAACCAATAGGTGACTCACAGTGGCTACATCCATTATTTTATAGAAGCTACGGAGTCTATACATAGTATGGGGAAAATCTGGCATAGTAAACCTTTAAAGGAATACTTCAACCACAAAGTGACCATTTCTTATTCAGTTAGTCATGTCAAATTGCCCTGAACTCGTGAAGAAAAATTAGTTCTTCTTGCATACCTTCACAGAAAATGGTGAACATATTGATTTACTGATTGAGAGGAGCACCATGTTAAACAACAGCAAAACTACATCAAAATATCCACTTACATGGTGATCTCACTTAAAGGAAGTTTGATTAAACAATTCTATTACAAATTAAACTCTACGGCAAATTTAAAAAAGTGTATACCCAAAAGGTCAAAATATCCCATAGTGTACAGGAACACTGTATACACAACTACGGTAATAGCAGTCGGAGTTGAAGCAGGAAGCGGCTCCATAAACTTTGATGGATGCTCACAATTGAACAACAAAATTGTTGACTGCTTCATCATATGTTTTCTTTTAAAGATATTTCCGTACAGGATTCAGCACATTCCAAGGGGCTGACAGATTTGTAATTAATTAAACATTCCTTTCAGCAGCCAAATGAAGGCTTTTCTTATCAACAGAATCCATTTCAACTTAGTAAACATCCTCATAACGCAGCCCAAATGTTTTAAGATAGTCTGCTTTGTGTCTCACTGCTTTTATTGTACACAGTTGGGTTGCTTTTCCTATCAGGAGAATGATTAAAATGTAATTTTGTTGAATGATGTTGACTGTGGCTTACGAGGGAAAAAAGCATAAATAATGTGTACTGTCAGCTTCGTGTTGAGAAAAATCATTTGGTGCTCTTTAACTCAGCCGGAGTGCTGACAGCGAGGACAGGCCTCGTCCGTCATGGGGGAACATGAAGACCGGCTAATGAAGCGGGGTTCATTTCTGAAGGCTGATAATTGCATCTGGGATGTTTTAGGGCCTTTAAACAACAAGACTGTACAGCACGTAGTAGAATCTGGTAAACGTGCAGTACAAAAATATAGGGATAACTTGATGGATGGTGGAAATCTGCTACTTCCATCATTGTCAGAATTGACATCTAGCATTACCACCTAATGCTTTAGACTGTTTTTTTCTGCTTGAGTAGAGCAAAGAAGATGGGATGCAACCATATGTAGGATGCCAACTTGGGTGGTAGACATCTGCCTTGTTAACCACCATCCTCAGACCCCATTAATTTGGCTGTTTTGAGGTTAGGACTGACAGTTGAATCATTTTCCAGAAAGTTCAAGGCCTATAGTTGTTGTTGTTGTAACTGTGTCTGAAAA